CGAAACACAAAACCAGAGAGCAGACAGACTGGTTTCCTAAAACCACAAGGCTCAGGAGAGAGTAGGAACATGCTGTAGGAAATATAAAAGTGATTAGAACTCGATAGAAAAATGTGCCCAAAGAGTTGAAAGGCTAAGGAAGAGACAGGAATACATTAACGGAATAAAAGAGAAGACTCAAAAGATGACTTGTGTATAGACAGATGAACTGGCTTCAAGGTGGAGGAGGAGTTTGGGCCAGGTTATTAGGTTTTTAAAGAATCGGAGGGCTCTGGTTTCCTTGGAATTCTTGTGAACCATTCTTACAAAACCTTTGAATTTCTTCTCGGATCCCAGGACCACTTTCCAAAATGCCTACAACGTTTTATTCTGCTCTTCAGATCTCATAATGTTGCAAACTAAAATCATTATCTTTTCATCCTTTGACCTCCAGGTGGCTTTTAATGAGCTGCCTTCTGTATTGCGCACTGAGACTTTAAGTTTCTGTGAAATTCCTACACAATCACTGCAGTTTTCACTTTCTGTGATGATGGTGTATCGTCTCTCTCCAATCAGCCAGTAAATTTCTTTGCTTTTCTGGTTTGTTATTTTATGTCTAATGAACCTATTATCTAATCTAGAGGGGGGAAATCCCTCTACATAACTGGTTTCTTTTTTTTTTTAAGACTTTTCATGATATTTTTGAGCTAACCAGCTCGTTTATTCTAATCACTGATCAGTTATTTGACCAGCTCAGCTATTCGTCCTTCCGTCCCTTTCATGTGGTAACAGGAGTTTCAGAAGTTTGCAGGCACATTAGTTAGCGCCCTGAGACTGGAGGAGTAACCAGAGGGGTGCAGGAGGGCCCAGGACGGGGCCCCTCCCCTGTCACCTCAGGGGTGAGGTTTCTCTGACCAGCCCGGGTATGAGCTGTGATGCTCCTGCCTGTGGCTTGTCCGTTACCTGGACACGGGGCACTTGTCACCTCCCCCTCCAGCATGCTGGGCGAGTTCCCTTGCTTCAAAGAGGATATCACTTCTGCCTTGTAAGTCCAGTGTCCTGAGGAAAAACAAGTGACCTTGACCATGCTGGGGTTATTGCAGAACTTAGACCCACACTTTTAATGATGATGAATCTCACCTCAGAATCTCTCAGGAACCTCCATAACACTGTTTTTGTTTAAAAGGGAAAAAAAAAGAGCCTCTACATTCTAACAGTTCTGCAGCTGTTGCCCGGGCACACAGTGGCCGGACTAGTACGGCTTGGGAGGAAGGAGCTGTGGCTTGGAAGACAGTGGAGGGTGTAAAACCGAGTCCTCCCAAGGAGAAGATGCCCTTCCTCACATCCCACAGCTCGAGCGCTGCTCCGGGAAATGCTGAGTCGAAACTCAGGCACTTTCAAGGACTGCAGAGAAGTCGCACCGGAGGAAAAACCCCACCACGGGCAGTTTTAGACTCACAAGGGAAGACCTCCTCACCCAGAGACACGAGGTAATCACAGTTATCCAGCATCACGTCCTTAAACAGTTGTCTCTCTTCGGGACTCAGATGAGCCCACTGGTCCGGAGAAAAGACCACGGCCACGTCTCTGAACTTCACTGACTCCTGAAATAACAACTGAGACTTCACACGTGCACAGGCTTCCGGGGGGCCCTCAGTAGGTCTCTTTCAAGTTGGGCAGAATCAGGAGGGAAACAGAGTGTAAGGATATGTTACAACGTGTGGCCAATGGCCTGGCTGGTGTAGCTCAGTGGATTGAGCGTGGGCCTGCGAACCAAAGGAGCGTGGTTCAATTCCCAGTCACGGCACATGCCTGGGTTGCCAGCCAGTTCCCAGCAGGGGATGTACAAGAGGCAACCATACATTGCTATTTCTCTCTCTCTCTCTCTCTCCTTTCCTTCACCTCTAAAGATAAATAAACAAAATCTTAAAAAAAAAGTGTGGCTAAAAGCACCAATGGAAAGTGGAAACTAAAAAAGGGACTTTGTCCTTGTAGAGTCCAGGAAGGGAAAATTACCTATCCTCACTTTTTTTTAAACGTAACAGCTAAAGAAACATACATTTGGTGTATGTGCCCAGCTGGGGAGTCACTGGGGTGAAGCTGCCATTGGTGGGACGACGACCAAAGGCCTGGAAGTTGGGATCCCACCCAGGAGGGACGCTCGGGGTCCTCCTCCTGCCTGGCGGCTCTAAACGAAGCATCTCTCGCCTGGAGTCTCCGGCCTGCCAGACTTGGACTAGAACTTACACCTCCGGCTCTCAGGCTCGGACTAGAGCTGCACCGTCATCTCTTCCTGGGTCGACTACAGATCTTGGGGTTTCTCAGCCTCCATAACAAAGGGAGTCCATTCCTCACACTAAATCGTGCGTGTGTGTGTGTGCACGTGCTGTTGGTGTTCTGTTGCCATGGAGAACCCCGATGAGCACAATCGCTTGCTGACTTCCATACAGTGCGGATGGATAAAGGCGGTGACTCTCCAGGCTGAGGCATCTCGGGATGCCTCAAAAATGAAGTCAGCTTGAACTGGACCACTTTGGGTTCCAGTGATAATGGAGTAGTTGCTCTGAGTTACCCTCTCCCTGTGAAAGAACTAATACAAATAAAGATACTCATACAAATCACTGTTTTTATGCACTGGAAAGCAACCTGTCCACGGCCGTGACCCTGGACAAAAATAAAGGCACACGTTACCCTTGAACTCTCCTTGGTGGCCTTTCTAGATACACAGTGCGGGGATGTGGAACCCAAGCAGAGAGCTGCGGTCTTGCTGCACAGAGGGAGAGGACGTCAGAGCTTGGAGCTTCCTTCCCACACAGCTGGGCTTTGGGGGGCAGGGTGCTAGGAAAGAGCCCCAAACACCTGTATGAAAATTTTCGGGGGTCCTTGGCTGACTTTGAAACTGTGTCTGCATAGGGCCTGACTTGTGAGGACACTGTTGGGATGCTGAGTCAAACAGAAGTTTTAAGAGGTCACACAGGGCTGGTAAGAAAGCAGGACCCCAGCCTGGCCAGAGGGGAGGACGGGGTGACCAGCATGTAGTTGGGGCTATGCACCTAGAGTTCTATACCCAGTGTCAACATTCTTTAAAAACAAAGGCAGCCCTGGCTGGTGTGGCCCAGTGGATTGAGCACAGGCTGAGAACCCAAGGGTTGCTGGTTCCATTCCCAGTCAGGGCACACGCCTGGGCTGTGGGCCAGGTCCCCAGTGGGGGCCATGTGAGAGGCAACCACACACTGATGTTTCTCTTCCTTTCTTTCTCCCTCCCTTCCTCTCTCTCTAAAAATAAATAAATAAAATCTTTTTAAAAAATAAAAACAAAGGCAAAGATACACATCAAGCTAGACTTAAAAAAAAACAAAACAAAACTGAGAGACTTCTCCCTTCGAGAAGAAATAACTAGTTTTCATAAATTGGTATTGGTCTGTATGGACTCATAACAGTCCCCCCCAAAAAAAGGTCCAGCGAAGTCCTAACCCCTGTATCTCAGAATGGACGCTACCTAAAAATAGGGGTAAGAGTTTTGTCTTTTTTTTACAGAAGTAACCAAGGTGAAGTGAGATTATCTGGGTGGCCCTAACCGTCTGTGACTTACAAAGGGGAAATTTGGACCCAGAGGCTGATCTGTGGGGAGGAGGAACTCCGTGAAGGACGTGAGGACAGGCCACGTGTAGATGAAGCAGGGAGGAGGGTGATGCGCCCACCAGCCCACCAGCGGAGGAAAGGCGGAGCAGGCCCGCAGACCACCACCGGAAGCCGGGACAGAGGCAGACATCGGATTCTCCCTCACAACCCAGAAGAGAAAAGGCATTTTTAGGCCCTGTAAATTGGAATTTTAGGAAGAAAATCATAAGTAAGCAATTCACCTGCGATATTACCCGTAGAAATGAAAGAGCCATTTTCTCCTCCTCGGGCTTCTGTTCTCAGAAGAAAGCAGACTTCCGAGAAATCACGGCCTAAAAGCCAAGACAGAAGGATGCGAGACCAAGCGCCTCAACCTCCCGCCCCACTCCAAATCGCTGCCCGCCCGAGCACACGCACGTGAGAGAAACCAGGAAGACACAGCGGCCTCCCGGCCTTGACCTTCAGGTTCCCCTCCTCCCGAGCCCCCCAAGGAGCCCACAGGCCACGCTGCTGCAGCAGCTGGGATTTCAGGTATGTGGGGCCTCTCCCCAGATCTGCCCTGAAAAACCTCCCCTCCGCTCCCCTGTGGAACAGCATGAACTCACCCTCTGACCGAGGTCGGCCCCCACCCGGCGGGCAGGCCAGCCTGCGGCTGAGCCTGCGTGTGTGGAGCCCAGACCATCACATGCAGAACCTTCTCGTTTCCCAGTCAAGGCCAGCCACTGCCTGCAGGCTCTCAGCCCTCGGTCCCAGAGTGTGGTGGCAACAGGAAGGATTAGGGGGTGCAGGGTGGTCTGGTCCGAGGGGTTGGGCTGAAAAATTCCCGAGTGCTCCTTATTCATGCCGACTGTATATATACCCCAATCACCAGCTCATATATACACACCCCACGGGGTTTTGGCAGACTTCCCACTTGAATCTTTGAAATGAGGGGTGGAAGTGTGTGGTAGGTAGAATAATAACCCCTCAAAAGGTCCCCCTCCTAATTCCCAGAACCTGTGAATACTGACTTTGCATGACAGAAGGGCTTCGGTAGGTGTAAATTAAGGATGCTGAGATGGGGGATGACCCTGAGCTGTGGGGTGGGCCCGACATAATCACAGGGGCCCTTCAGAGAGGGCAGCAAGGACTTCAGGCAAGGGAAGGGCGCCGAGAGTCAAGGAATGGAAGCTTAGCAAGGTGAGGAAACCGGTTTTCCCTAGAGCCTCCAGAAAGCACACGGTCCTGCCATTGATTTTAGCCCCTTAAATCCCGTTTCAGAATCCCGACCTCCGGAACTGTCAGATAATGAATGAATTTGCGTTGTTTTAAGCCTCTCAGTTTGTGGGGCTGTGTTGCAGCAGCCACAGGGACCGGTCCCTGGATGGGGTGGATGCAGCGGGGACGTCTGAGCAGAGGCCATGCAGGAGAGCTGTCGGTTCGGATGTGCGCTGTGCCCCGGGGCCAGCCGGGGCGACCAGACGCTGCTGCAGGGGAAAGCCCAGCGGGGAGAGATGCCCCAGGCAGGGGCCAGCCCGACGGAGTGGACAGCGCTCAGGCCTGAGTCGTACTCCCTGGTTCCTTCACTTCTCGTTTAGCCTTCATGACGGGAACACTTAATTCCGAGGTGAAATAGGAGAAAAGGGAGGGAGCACTTGAGAGGAGAGAACATGCCTGAGAGCACGTATGGAATTTGAAATCTAGGGAATTTAATGCCTCAACTTCAGGAGTCTGATTCAGACAAGCATTGACTGAATTGGGTGGAATCGTCCTGGAAGTGAACAAATTGCATTTTATTACAGTAGGTAAAATGACAGCATGTATCAGAAATTTATAGGAAATAAATCCACCTTCCTTATCTCTGTATTTATCAGTAGGAGATTTTTACATATTCCAATAGAAAACAGGAGGAAAAGTCTTTCTGTAATGGAAGAGTTAGAGGTAAAGAGACATTGAAGGTGGAGATGAGGTTGAAAACGGAGGGTCCGAAGGTCAAATTGTGAGGGGCTGCCTGAGTGTTTGATCTGAATTTCTGGGTAAAACAAGAGAAAACATCACAGGTGAGCACAGTGGATGAAATATGAGAAAGGTCGTAACAGTTCCTGAAGAGAGTGGAAGGGGGAACTGGGGAGAATAAAATAAAGGAAGTGCTCAGATAAAGTTTGAAGTCTGTGATTCTTACAAATGTGCAAGTCATAGATGAGAGGTCAGGGATTGGGGGAGGGGTGGAGATAATCAGACAGATACTGTAAACTCTGATTTAAGAAGTTACAGTGCAGACCACGGAAGAGTTGAAGTTGATTCTCAGAAATCTGCCCACCAACCTGAGGTTTTTCAAATTTCCTAGTGCACCCTTAGTCCTGTGGCTTGGAAGGAAGCGCAACGACACCACGCAATACTACTTTCTGTGAGACGTCGGAGCGTGTAGGTTAGGAGACATGGTGTAGATCCCCAGTTCTTTGTGATGAAACTGGAGTCTGGAACCCATCCTCCAAAATCTCGGGCTGACTTCTTCCACAAGAGCCATTCTGTTGGATAACAGCTGAATAGCTCCTCAAAAAGGTGACTATGGGTATCTAATATACAGGATTTAATAACAAAAAAAATGAAAGAAAACTGGGCATGTGTTTAATACTGTAATATTCAGATGTTCCAAGAGAAATGTTAACAAAATCTTTCATGACCATCATTTTGATTGTATTGAAAACACTGTACTGTTAGATGTAGCAAATTATTTATAAAGGAATATATTAAAAATGGGAAAAATTCAACCTAAAATGATTTTACTTGGAGTTCTTGGATTAAGATATCTTTGAACGACCAAAAATTCATATTGGACGTGTTTTTATTTCTTCTTAAGATGTGAAGTGAATTCAGAGGCTGAAACTGGCTTACAGTAAGTGAGAGCCCCAAATAAACAAGAAAATAAGTAGGGACAGAAGAAGAATATTCACTTTGGCTTTTTTTTTTTTTTAAATAAGGGGCCTATTATTCTAACAAGTCTAGTGATGGCCTACTTGGAATGCCAGCTTTTCAGAGTAAGTTTCTTTAGTCTTGTATTTAGTTGGGTTGGTTTTTTTGTGTGTTTTTTTTCCTGTCATTTGGATTCAAGTATGGAAGTGATGGACTGATAAGGGTCAGCGTGGACATCATTATATGTGTGACATTTAATTTGCTTTAGCCCCGGATTTTAGGAACCAAAGTAAGATGACGAAGGAGGTTTGATGCGTGGGAGTCTTCAGTCTTGGCTTGTCTCATTAACTTAGGAATGTATGGGCTACCTCAGGTCAGTAATGCACCCCGGGTGCATTTCTGAAGGCCTTGGCACACTGGCTGCCTCCACATGGCTTCTCCAGCGTGAGTTCCTTCATAGTTACCGCTAAAATCATGGCTACACGTGTGACAATGAAAACCTTTGTCTCCAGTGTTCATTTTTAATGCCGTTTCAGGACTTCTTGGCTAAAGACCCTTCCACACAGATCACATTGGAAGGATTTCTCTCCAGCGTGAGTTCTCGGAAGCTTACTAAATTGGGAGTGCCATTTAAAGCATTTCTCACACTTGTCACATTTGTGTAATGTTGGGTCAGTATGTGTGTTCCAAGGCTCAGTAAGCTTTGAAGCACTGTCAGAGGTACCATTTCCCTGGAGTATGAATTCTGTTGTGGCATTTCAGGGCTGCCTGTTGGCTAAAGGCCTTTCCACATTCATCAGGTCCCTCTCCAGCGTGAACTCTCTGATGTCTAATGAGGAGTTCGTAAAATTTAAAGGCCTTGTCACCTGCATCATGCTTTTCTCTCTTTTTAAAATGTTATTCATTTATTTATTTTTAGACAAAGAGGAAGAGAGAGAGAGACATCATTGTGTGGTTGCCTCTCCCATGCCCCCCACTGGGGACCTGGCCTGCAGCCCAGGCATGTGCCCTGACTGGGATTCGAACCAGCGAGCCTTTGGTTCGCAGGCCAGCACTCCGTCCACTGGGCCAGACCAGCCAGGGCCCTGTATGCTTTTCTGATGTTGCATAAACTTTGAAGGTCAGAGTATTTTCACAATCACTACAGCCAAAGACTAGCTCTAACACACCCATGTTTTGCAGAGTAGTGGATGATGAAGGAGGGCCACAGGCCCTGGCACACCAACCATGCGTGCGTGGTTTCTCTGCTGGATGAATTTTCTCGGGTCAAGGAAAACGTGAGACGGGACCGAATGCCATCCTGCAGCCGTCGCCTGGCTTCACATCACACCGTGGGGTCTGTGCTGTGCACTCCACCGTGAGCCCCGTCTGCAGGACGCACGGATTCGGTGAACAGTCAGGAGAAAAAGTCCAAAGTTGGTTGGCATGTGAATGGGGAGACGGTAAGGGAGTAAAATAAAATTAGACACCACTCATGCATCACAGTGACTTACTGTTTGTGCGTGTGGGCGTGTGGATGGTATGAGGACACAGTGGTTGCAGGCTGAGGAAGTGACAGTGTGTCACTGAGAAGTGGCAGTGTACGTGCAGAGTGTGCAGCACAGCTACGCGGCTTCAAGGCATTTAGAAGCAACATCCATGTTTCTATAAACAGTAAGAAGGCACTGGCATAATTTTTTCTTTGAACAGAAAATAATTTTTTTTCTCTAAGAATTACCTATTAAGAATTTTACGCTCAGCCCTGGCTGGTGTAGCTCAGTGGATTGAGTGTAGGCCTGTGAACCAAAGGATTGTGGTTCAATTCCCAGTCAAGGCACATGCCTGGGTTGCAGGCCGGTTCCCAGCAGGGGATGCGCAAGAAGCAACCATACATTGATATTTCTCTCCCTCTCTCCTTCCCTTCCCCTCTGAAGATAAATAAATAAAATCTTAAAAAAATTTTTTACATCCAAAACAATGTTGCGCTCAATAGATAAAGTGTTCTTTGGGGGTTAATTTCAAGTTTTGAGCCACAGATTTTTAATGAGTTAACATGTGGTTAAATATAAATATCTTACATTGGTTTTGACGCTACTTGAATACTGACAAGGACAGTGCCATACTAGACTCACCCATGGCCACTACGTCACATGAGAGTTGTGTCCCTTTGTCAGTGTGACGGGGGACTCACTAACCTGTGCATAGGTTTTTGTGAATTTGATCATCAGTACAATATGTTGAAGGTCCTAAAATTAGGCTTTTTCAAAAGAGGTAGCAAAGTATATAGTCGCCACAATTTAAAGCACAAAACTCAGGTAAGTTCTTATCAATTTGTATTCTAAACCTTCAGATATACAAGGGTATATCATTGCTATCATAATTTCTACAACCCCTGGGTTGTATCAGTGTTTTATATTGTCAATTTAATACTAACTTTTATCATTGACCTTTTTTCCCAAAAAACGTTTTAAAATTGAATTTATTGGGGTGGCACTGGTTAATACGATGACGCAAGTTTCGGGTATACGGTTCTACAACACAGCATCTGTATATGGCGTTGTGTGTTCCCCCCAAGTCAAGTCCCCTTCCATCACCATTTATCCCCTTTACCCTCTTCTCCCTTCCCCCACCCCTTTCCCTCCCGTAATCAGCATACTGTTGTCTGTGTCTCTGGTTTGTTTTTCTTTGCTTAATCCCTTCACCTTTTTCACCCAGCCCCCAACCCCCTTCCCCTCTGACCCCACTTCTGGGAATATATCCCAAGAAACCTGAAGGACCAAAAAGAATATGTGTATCCCTAACTTTCTTGCAGCGTTATTTACAATAACCAAGATTTGGTATCTTTGATCCTTTTATTTACATTTATTCAGTTGCTAGAAAAATATGTTTGGTTTTTGCTTCATGAAATAAAGCAAATTACCAAAAAAAAAAAAAAAAAAAGGAATGTAAGACTCTCTGCCTCTAATCTAACACAGAAACGTAATTAGTAATAGTGTCCTGTCCTTGGCTCACATCCTAACAGTGCATGCGCAATGGCTACTCTAGTCTCAGGCTGATGGATAAGAAATTGCTACCATGAAACACAATGAGGGACTACCTTGAAAAATAAAGTAGAACTGCTGAGTATAAGTACTGTAGATAGTATAAATAGAAGAATAAACAGGCAAAGACAAATAGTAAAATGGGAAGTCTATGAATAATTTAGAAAAATCCAGACTGGATTTCAAAATATTAAAATTAAGACATAAAAGAAAAAAATTAGAAAAAAATTTTTTCTAAGCCTCGGAATAAAAGAAAAAATTAGATGCAGGGGAGAAAATTATCTAGAATGCATGAATACTTCCCAGAGATAATATGTGAGTCTTGGAGGATGGATTTTTTTTTTCCCTTTCAGCTCTTCAAAAGTATCATTTCATGGCTTCTGGGCTCTGTTGTTTTTGAAAAGTCGGGTGTAAATTATATTGTTGTTCTTGTACATGAAAGGTCATTTTTCTCTAGCCGATTTCAAGATTTTCTCTGTCTTTGGCTTTCAACATTTTGATAGTGATAAATACAGTTGTGGAATTCTCTGTGTTTTTTTAAATGTGGAATTTGTTAAGCTTCTAGTATATGCGGGTTACTATTTTTCACCAAATTCGGGATCTTTCTGGCCATTACTCCTTCAGATATTGTTCCTTTTCTTCTCTCCTCCCCTTCTAAGGCTTCTGTTGTGCATACATTTGTCTGCTTGTTGGTATTGCACAAGTCTTTGATGCTCTGCTCATTTTTCTCATTCTTGTCTTTCTATTCTTCAGAGCAGGTGACTTCTATTGGTATATGGTAACATTTGCTTTCTGCCAAGTTCTGTCTTCTGCCACCTCAACTCTACTGTTGAGCTCTTCTAGTAGAATATTCACTTCAGTTAAGGTACTTTTCAACTTCAGAATTTTCGGTTTTCATAACTTCTATTTCTATTGCTATTCTTTTTTTTTTTTTTTGGAGTGCCCCTGGTAAGACCATGATAACAATGATCCGTGCTTGTACGGTTTATGAAGACAAACATGCTTGGCTCCAAATCCCAGACCTGCCACTGAGACACAATCTTATCTCGAAGAAGTTTTCTAACCCGTGTAATTCTCAGTTTCCTCTCTCAAAAAACGAAGGTGCCTTATGAGGATTGAGTGCTAAGAAAGAAGAGCTTTAGAACCTTGTTACTCGGAATGTGGTGGGGGACCAGCGCCATGGGGACCATATATCTAAACTACACACCAGCTCTATTTTCTGCTTCTTTCCAGAGTCATTAATTTCTATATTATATATATTGTATATATACCTGTATATATAACCATGCCTGACTGATATTTTTCCCTCAATTCTGGCCAAGGTAAAGAAAAGTTTTCATCTTACATATAGAATAACTGAAAGGCAGTACTGGAAAGAACTTTGCAAGTTAACCTCAATCTTACTCCTTGCTTAAAATAACAATAAAATTGGGGTAGAACGGGTAAATGACCTATCTAAGGTCACATATATTGTTAATATTTGATGCAAATTTTCCAAATACTACGGGTTTACTAAAATTTCCAAAAACCATAAGGAACTGCATACCTCACACCAGTGAGGAGTCCCGGATGTGAACTGTGTTTGCGCCACTGAGGTCTGCCTGTGTCTCTTTAGCAGACGAGCTAAAACGTGCCCATTGGACAGAGAAGCCCAGAACTGTGCGTGTTCTTGGTTAAGCCAGAACTGTGCGTGTTCTTGGTTAAGCTCGCTGTCACTAATGCTTTAGAATACTTTTGTCACTTCGGCAGTTACTTTAACATTCACCGTTATTAAATTTTAATATATTTTAATTACACCAGTCTCATTCAAATATTCATTAATTGGAAGTGCTCTTAGGGGGCTTAAAAATTCATGAAGACCAATTACTTTGAAGTGGAAATTGGATGTTAAACTGCAAAGACACTTCAACAAACCCCATCATGTGGTATGCAGTGAATTTTGTGGAGAACGCTCAATGCGACGTCAGAGGTGGCACAGAGAAAATAAGAAATGTAGCGTTAGAGCAGATACACAATAGATGTGAATGTGTGCTACCTAAGAATGCACCTTTCCTATTATACAGCTATTCCTATGGGGACATTAGTATTTAATGGTGCAGGTTTTGAATTCTTCCAGGTCTTCAGAAACAAAATCCTTGCATAGAATACTCTATCATTATGCATGAGAGTACATTTTAAGTTTTTTGGTCCAATTTTTTGTTCTTGCATTTGGTTTCCACGTTTGTTTTTATACCCTTAGAAAACATGTATGATTTTTACAAAAAAAAAAAAATGGCCCTGGCTGGTGTAGCTCAGTGGATTGAGCGCGGGCCTGCGAACCAGACACTCGTGGTTCAATTCCCAGTCAGGGCACATGCCTGGGTTGCAGGCCGGTTCCCTGCAGGGCAGTTCCCAGCAGGGATTGCACGAAGGCAACCATACATTGATGTTTCTCTCCCTCTCTCCTTCCCTTCCCCTCTAAAGATTAATAAATAAAATTTTTAAAAAAAGTGAATGCCTTATATTCTTGTGTAAAGAGCATTTTACTTGAAAATATATTATAAAATCCCCACCATGTCAATAAGGTAGTTCTACATTATAATTTTTAATGGTTACCTAATCCTCCACCTTATAGAGTCCTACAAGCTATTGTCTATGCTTTTTCAGTTTTTTACATTTATATTTTTAACAATATATTGCTATTAATATAAACTATAAGAAATGTACTTATACATGTAACTTTGGAAAATTATTTTCTTAGGTCATATTTCTACTGAGTGAATTGCTACATTACAGCGCGTGTTCCTTTTAAATCCTGGTAGAGTGGCCTCCAAATTGTTTTATAAATTATATTCTAGATAGAAATTTATGAAAATGAATGCTTTCCAAACTTATGCCCACCCTGGATATCATTTTTCTTTATAATCTTTGCCAATGGTATAGGCCAAAACACATTTGCATTTTTTATTCATAGTTTATGGGTTACTTTCACATATTTATTCTTCATTTGCATTTTCTCTTTTATTACTTTCCCCTTCATATCCATAGATCATTTTTATGGTAGTGTGATCTTTTTATAAATGTGTAAGAGATAATTAAATGAAGTCAATAAAGCATTTCTTTCACATACTTAACAAATACATTTTCCGAGTGTTTTTCACTTGATTTTTTTTCTTTTCTGAAAGGAAGGTTTTAAATTTTTCTAGAGTAAAATTTGGCAGTCATTTCTTTTAAGGTTTGACAGCTCGCCATCCATACCCAGAGACTAAATGAGAAAATTATTTTATGTTTTCTCTAGGCACTTGGTGGTTTACTGTTACAATGTTACATCAAGAATCTATATAAAATTTATGTATTAGAACGTGTATGGATGACAGATGTACTCTTCCTCTCTCTACCCATCGCCTCTAGAGTCCTAATGAGATTTCCTGCTTACCTCTCTCTGTCCTCCCCTCCCTCTACTCAGAAATCCCCCTTCATTATACTCTAAATTCTTAGGTATGCTTGGATTTGTACCTGTTTTTCTAAGGAGCCAGAGGCTATCTTTTGAATATTAATATTATACATTATTAATGTGTTATAAGAAATACTATGATTTTTAAGTCCTGGCTGTTTTACTATGGTTTTTTTGTTCTTCCAGATGAAATTTCAATGTGTTCTGTTAAGTAAAATTAAAAAAAAAAAAAAGAAAGAAAGAAGTCACATCATTCATCTTACTGAGATTCTGATTGGAATTTTGTTAAAGAATGCTGAGTCTTGCTATTTAGGAAAACTGTACATGTCCCCGTTCACTTTTTTTTTTAATTTACTTTTAGAGAGAGGTGAAGGGAGAAAGAGAGGGAGAGAAGCATCAATGTGTGGTTGCCTCTTATGCGTGCCCCCTACTGGGGACCTGGCCTGCAACCCAGGCATGTGCCCTGACTGGGAATCCAACCCGTGACCCTTTGGTTCGAAGCCCACGCTCAATCCACTGAGCTACGCCAGCCAGGGCCCGTTCACATCTTTAATGTCAAACAGCAGCAGGGGTGTCCAACCTGCAGCCCCCGGGCTGCATTCAGCCCAGGATGGCTGTGGCTGTGGCCAAACACAAAATCGTAAATTTACTTAAAACATGAGATTTTTTTGTGATTACGTGTCACGATGTATTTGATATGTGGCTCAAGACAAAAATTCTAACAATTCTCCCAGTGTGGCGCAGAGATGCCAAGAGGTCAGACACCCCTGGAGTGGAGTGTAAGTGTCTTCCGTTCTGCCCAGGTTTTGTTCACCTAGTCCTAGACACCGAACGACTGTGAATGGCTGTGAATGGAACCTATTTCCTCTTACTGTCATTGACGTAAGAGAAACAGGTGATATAGTGACATCGTGTGAATGAAACTGATCTGGTGCGATTCACTGATACACAACATCCCTTAATGTCATACCAAGAAATAGGCAACCTGAATCTAATTATGAGAAAACAAGCGCACAAACCCAAATAAAGGAATGTTCTTTAAACCAACCAGTCTGTCCTTTTCAAAATTACCACTGTCATAAAATTAAAAAGAACAAAGACTGAAGAATTAGATTAAAGCAGTCTACACGGTATCAGAAAAGGATGTAACGTGTGATCCTGGATCAGAAAATAAGTGGTATCATTGTAACAATGGGTGAAATCTGAATACAGCCTGCATCTTTGATAATATTTTATCAGAGTTCAGTTTCTTCAATTTGATCATTGGTTGTGGTTATGTGAAAGAGTACCCTTGTTCTTAGGAAATACATGCTCATTTTAGGGGTGACAGTGTATGTTAGAAAGTTACTCTGCAGTGGTGAGAAGGGAGAGAGAGAGGGAGAGAGTACAAAAGTGAAAAAATATTAACCGCTGGTGAATCTAAACAGTTTGTAGGTGTTCCTTCAGAATGAATCATTCCTGTAACTTTTCTGTACACCTGAATATTTTCAAAATAAATAGGTAAAAGGAGTAAGAACATGATTAACCACATGTTCAATGTAAAAATCAAAACAATGCATCAAGACCTTTCCCCAGCTGCCGCTAAGGTGCTCGGTCCTTCAGAGGAAGCTAAGGCCTCGTGGGGGTGAGGCCCTCGCTCCATCCGGCGACCAGCACCACTCCGGGCAGCGCTCGCCCCGCTTTCGCCTACACCACGGCCTCCGTCTGGGAGCTCGCCTGCACCTCCTCGGCCCTTGGCCTGCTCGAGGACGAGGTGATGGTGACGGAAGATAAGATCGACGCCCTTGTTAACGCAGCTGGTGTACATGTTGAACCTTTCCGGCCTGGCTTCTTTGCAAAGGCTCTGGCCAATGTCAACCTTGGGAGCCTCCTCTGCAATGTCGGGGCCGGCGACCCGCCCCAGCGGCTCGTGCGGCACCAGCAGGAGGTCCTGCCCCCTCCACTGCTGCTGCCCCCGCCGAGGAAAAGAAAGTGGAAGCGAAGAAAGAAGAATCGGAGGAGTCTGATGATGACTTGGGCTTTGGACGATTTGGTGAAACCTCTTTTGTAACACAGTCAATAAAAATCTGAACTTAAAAAAAAAACCACATTGAACTTTCAGGGCCCTGTTTTAATAAAAGTATTACCTGACGTGCGCATTCCTGACACAGGAACTTCTGAGTGCTCTCCTTGAACTAAATCTCCCGTTGATTTATGCGCACTTGCCCTTTTATCTGCAATTTTAGTGCATCGCTCTTGAAGTCCAGTTTGGAGATGTTTGCGATCCCGGGAGAAAACTTGCTGGTCTGTGTTTTCTAGTAGTTCAGTTAAATTTTTATGTTTTCATACTTGCAGTTGACAAGACATGTGTTCTTGTCAAGGTAGCTTTGAATCCGGAGTGTCACCGGTTGTAGGCGAAGCCAGGTTCAGATCCTGGGAGCTGTTCCTGGGAGGAACCAGGACCCCAACAAGTGTATGGGTGATTTTGGACCACCAGTCAGCCAATCCACCAAATCAGGAGGGGCCCCCAACCCCGGTCCCAAGGTGAGGGGCGTGGAGACTTATGGGAAAGCGAGTCCCGCATTTGGCGGATTACCCGGAGCCGGAGCGGAGCTGCGAGCCTTCGCAGCTCCGTCTGCGCATGTGCAGTTCTTCCTCATTGTTCGTCCGCTCCCTTGTCTCCAGCTTCGAGGGGCAGGTAACAGTGGAGGCTCCGGTGTGCCAGTCGCTCCGTGACCGGGTCCTGCATGGAGGGTGTGCACAACAGGTGAGAGCCCAGTTTTGGAGGGTTGCTTTGTCAGGTCTGCGGGCAGGTTTGGGTCCACACCTGGTGGAAACTCAAACCTGCGCGAATCCCGTGCTGACTGAGACCCTGGAGCGCTTGCTCCCCGGTCCCCTCTGCTTTTGCCCCTAGAGAAAGCCAAGTGACAGGGCAGCTTGGCGGAGGACCAGCTGCTCCGCGAAGGGGATAAGGACCTGGATTTCTTGGTCGGAATAAAGTTCCCCCAGAAAAGGCATCCAAATGTTAAAGGACTGTTTCCAGAAGCCCCTGGAGTGTGCATGTGCCCCGGGCAACCATCATTAGCCAGTAAATCCTCCACGCCCAGTGGAGAGGAGAATGAATTCTTGTAACAGTTACTACGTGCCTGCCGGCTAAGGGCAGGTGGTGGGTCTGCAGAGCCCCAGGCTGATTTCAGAGTCCGAGCGTGAACTAAGACGGAAGGGCTCAAATTCTAGCCCAGCCAACTGAGTCTCCGTGGGCAAAACGATGAGCTTCTAAGGCTCAGTTTCTCCGTCAGCAAAATGAAGTGACTCCTAAGCCCTGTCTCAGGGCGGACCTGAGGACTGAACCAGAAAGCACCTGTGGCTCACTGCGCGCAGGTGGTGACATTCACTGAGCCCCAGGGAAATGCTGATTGCCTTTCACACTGTTCTTTTTATTAAGTATATCATTTGTTCTCAAGGCCGCCCTGTAAAATCTGTATTCATTATCCCATTTTCACCACGCAGTAAGCCGAGACTCTGGAGGTGAAGTCACATGGCCAGTAGTTGATGGAGCGGAGGTGCAAACCTCATAGAGCTTTATTTCCGAGTCCCATGCAGGGTTTGGCCCAGCAGGACAGGCTTCACAGCACTTAGCAGGGTGGCCCGTCCCTAGGAGCCACAAGAAGGAACCTGGAGTCTATGCAGAGTCTGCTCCAGGGGCGCCCTGGAGATTTCTTGATATCTGTTCAGAACCCTCAGGTTACTGCATAACTGAGGCTTCTGGGCTCTTCCTTCACTGTCTCTCTGGCCTGTGCCCTCAGCAGTGTACACAGCCCCCTAAGTCACGTTTTCTGGCAGGGGTTCTCCAGCATGCATCGGAATCACCTGGGGAGCTTGTTAAAAGCTGGCAGCTGGCCAGGCCCCACCCCAGGGTTTCTCTGCTTCAGTAGATCTGGGGAAGGCCCCAGAATCTGCATTCCTATCAAGTTCCCAGGTGATGCTGATGCTGCTGGTCTGGGGACCACGCTGAGAAATCTGTCATAGAGGATGGTGAACTCCAAGACACAGTGGACCTGGGCCAAAGATTCCAGTTATTTGAATTTACCCGCTCCAGCCAGGTCCAAATTCTCCTGAGGAATTCTTATGAGGAAAGAAGGGGGGCACACCAGGAACTGGGCTCCCACCTGGGAGACCCCCACCTTCCCCAGACATGGCTGCCACGGCTACCACGGCTGCAGGGCAGAGATGCGAGAAACAAACAGGTTCCTAATTTGCTGGGTCAGAAGCAATTCCTGACCATCCTGCCCTGAGTCATATCACTGAACCACCGGCTGTCAAGATCCATTGGCCAGTGAAGGTGAGGGCCAGCTGTTGAAGGGGACAAGTAAGCTGGACTGAGGATGGAGGCAGTAGGTGGGCTTCGAGGGAAGAGGAAGTCCAGTGGATGGGATGATGAGGACACGGTCCGGGAGGGAGGCCCCCCAGAAACTCCTCCCCACACCAGTGATCCCGCCTCTCTTCTCGGATTCTGCCCAGCTTTTAAGCCACGTGCATCACCACATCTGGAATGTAGGGTTATGCTCCGCACCCCATTCCTGTCTTTGGAGGAGCACAGGGAGGGTGTTCACATAATCCTGCCTCAAGTTCAAAGTGAGCAGCACTGGGCCTAAGGGCGTCTGCAGCACAGGGCTGAGTGCAAGGTGTCTGGAGCCGGCTGCCAGGGTTCAAAGGCTATCTCTACCATATCATTTTCACTTTCCTCCTCTCAATTTCCTCTATAAAAAAGGAGTAATAATAGTGCCTACATCTTGCATTCTTTTAAGCGATAAATGGGATAATGTTTGTGAGGTGCTTAGCGCAGTACTGTTACACATAGTGAGCGCTATACAGCTGTTGTCAGAATCACCGATGTTACTAAACCTGGATTATTATCATTTTGGCTTTCAGTATTTAAGTAGCAGAACCAAAAGGAGCACCAAGGCCCCTCGACTCTGAATCCCAAGCCGCTGTTTTGTCCCCAGTGACAAGTCAAAGGAAGTTTCTTCATAAAAAGGCCTTTGGAGGCCCTGCACCAAAGGAGAACAAATCCCTTCCCTGAAAACTAGATTTCCTGACAGCACGCTCGTGCCCGTTCCCGTGGATTCTTTAACCTCAAGGAGTTAAAAATATAAGGAGCAGAGTCAGTGAACAGCTCTCTATGAGGCTTCTGCTGCTGTATCATCTTTTACATTTTTTACTGGAAATATTCACAACATAGTGAAGGAGTGAAAATAATGGAACGGCTCCCATATCCCTGCCACAACTTCAGCAGTTTTCAGTATATGGGTCGTTTTATTTCATCTGAGTTCCCCTCTGCCTCCGTGCACACACTCTGACCCTCACACGCTTCCCCCCTCCCACCTTCCTCTACTGGGTTATTTTAAAGTGAATCCCAGCCCCAGCTGATGTAGCTCAGTGGACTGAGCATGGGCTGTGAACCAAAGGGTCGCTGGTTCAATTCTCAGTCAGGGCACATGCCTGGGTTGCAGGCCAGGTCCCCAGTGGGGGCCATGTGAGAGGCAACCACACACTGATGTTTCTCTCACTTTCTTTCTCCTTCCCTTCCCCTCTCTCTAAAATAAATAAATAAATATAAAGTAAATCCCAGACATCAAAAAATTCAGAATGTAATGTGCTTAATAATGGAGCAAAGGTGTGGCATCTTGTCCTCGCTATGCTATGATTAGTTTAACCAAGTCTTTCTTAGTTGAACTTGGCCTTGTTTTGTTGATATATTTTAAAATTATTTATTTATTGATTTTTTAAGATATTTTATTTATTTATTTTTAGAGACAGGAGAACGGAAGGAGGAAAAGAGGGAGAGAAACATCAATGTGTGGTTGCACTCCATTCTGGGCATCTGGCCTGCAACCCAGGCATGTGCCCTGACTGGGAATCAAACCAGTAATGCTTTGGTTGGCAGGCCGCCCTCAATCCACTGAGCTACACCAGCCAGGGTGTTTTATTGATACATTTGTCTGCTGTGGAATCAAAGGAGACTATCCATTGTAAGAAACCAACAAGGAAAAAATATTTACTCTTCCCAATGGAAAGCCTGCTTCTCTAAGCTCCTCGTGGTGAGCCCCAGGTTAGGGGGACGTGCCATGGGGCCCTTCAAGGCACACCTAGTTCTCATGCTGTCCTTGCTCCACCCCTCTCCGCAGCTCAGCCGTCACGGTTCTCTGAACGTCGCCAGGAGCGGAAGAAAATGAACATACCCGAGGTGAGTGGTTTATGTATTGCCGGTTTTTTTCCCAGTGGAGTCTAGGAGTTCTTTTGTGTTTTTAGTAACAGGTTCTTGTCAATCATTTTTCATTTTTTTTAATTTCCTGACTTCTCCCCTGCATTATTTTAATTTCTTCCTCTTCGAGTGGTTGCAAAGGGCTAAGTTTGCTTTTTCTTCTGTTATCGGTTACCTTTGATGTGTTCAGCACAGATGCAAACATATATTTCTATCAACATCAGGAATTGTTTTTATATTATCCTTCAATAAAATATACTGCTCCCTCATCTCGGGTTTTGTGGACATCACCTAATGTCTTTCTTTTTTTAATTTAATTTTTTTTCATTGTATTATTCCCATTACCATTTATCCCTCCTATACCATCTTCCAATTCACTTACCTCCCTCTCCCACACAATCAATTTTTTAATCTTTTTTACATAATAAGTATTATTTGGGGAATGTTTAGTTAACAATTGTATTGTACTTTCTAGCTACTTGGAGAGTACTTATTTAAATTTTATTGTCCATTCTCTGGTTATTTTTGCTGTCCCGAGTTTGAAGAAAAGTGATAAGACAGTAATAACTGGTCAGTTATAATATTACCTACCATGTAGGGCTGCTGTATTCTAGTCACTGTTATCTTCCTCACCCGGACTAGCTGATATAATCCTGACAGCACCATGAGGCAGGTGCTTTTATCATGCCCGTTTTACAGAGGATAGAAGTAGCTTTTCAGGACCTGGCAGCTGGAATAGTTCTAAGGAGACATCATTAGACATTTGGCCAGAGACCTCAAGTCCACGTGTACTGCAAGCTTGCTACCCATTGTTGGTGGTAGTTTATCATCTGCTTATATTCCAACTTGGCCAAGAACCTGTAATGGGAGACCTGTTAGGCATAGGGTTGCCAGATAAGACACAGGGCACATAAAACAAAGTACGTCTTGCATTGGACACACTTATACTAAATACTTATTTGTTGCTCTCGTGAAATTCAGATTTAACTGAGTGCCCTGTATTTTTATTTATTTTCTTTCTTCATTGAACTTATTGGAATGATATCAGATAGTAAAATTACACAGGTTTCCAGTGTATAATTCCATAATATATCATCCATATATTGTACTGTTCACCACCCCAAGTCAAGTCTCCTTTCATCACCATGTACCCCCTTTGCCCTTCCTTACACCCCCACTCCCCTTTCCCTCTAGCGATCACTCTGCTCTTATCTGTGTCTGAGTTTTTTTCTTGGTCCCTTCTCCATTGTCAGAGAGCCTCCCAAGCCCCCACCCTCGGACAGCCCTCAGTCTATCTTCTGTGTCTATGAATCTGTCTCTGTTTCGTTTGTTAGTTCAGTTTGTTCACTAGATTCCATGTGTAAGTGAAATCATGTGGTATTCGTCTTTCTCTGACTGGCCCATGTCACTTAGCATAATGCTAAATCTGGCAACCTACTTGGGTGGAAGGAGGGGTTCAGGTGCCCAGTGCTGACCATGCACTAGGGCTGGCAGTCCTGGCTCACCCAGAGCATCAGACCATCTCTGTCCACCATGGCCGGCCGTCCTACCCAGCCCCAGGTGGTCTGCGGTTGACGAGGACTGCTCCAGCATCACCGTCCATCCCTGTAGCAGCTCCTCTTCCAAAATCTCAGGTATTCTCAGGCTCGGTTCCCACAATATGGTGCTTTGTCAAAAAATACAAAACTTTACCTACATACGCTTTACAAGTAACTGTTCAAAAAAAGTTTCCTGTTGCATTAGCCTCCACACACTCTTCCCCTTCATAGCCTGTAAGTCACCCCCAGGGCTTTACCAGGAACCCGTCCTTCAGCCCCTCTCTCTGTCCACCCCAATCTCTGGGAATCACGCCTTCTTGCTCAGATTCTGCTGAGTTTGATAGAGACTCCTGGGCATTTCCCAGAACGACTGTGTGGTTTTATGCCTTCTGCATCTGGGTATCTAAATGTGCCTTTATTCTGCCGTTACATAAATGATAACTGCTTATGGGATTTGGGTTTGAAATCCTTTTCCTTCAGAGCATGACGAGAAAAGATCATCTCTATGGGCTCTCGGCATTTGGAGAGACCGGGGAGGCGTCCTGTGGCAGCTTGGGTCTCGCTTATTTTGTGGGCGACCTGTTTTCTTCTTCCTTTTGTGCAGGTTCTTCTTTATCCTCTCGTTTCAGGTATTTCACCAGGCAGCGTCTGCTTATTCGTTCTTTTTTCAGGCTGCTTGGTAATCGGACGGGCCCCCTCCGGGTGCAAACTCGGGTGCTCCTGAGTGTTTGCAGTGGCTTGACAGTGGTTGCTTTCCTCCCTCCCCAGTGTCTCCGCTCTGGTCTCCCAGACCCCATCACACTGGCCTCGCCTCACCCGATCAGCCATCTGCGTTTTTTTACTTTTCTTGCATTTTTTGCATTTCTGTTTTTCGGCCGTTTTTCTTCTATGTGTTGAGAGATTGGCTCATTTTTGTCACCTTTATCATTTGGTGTTCAAGCCTTCTCTCGAGTGTTTTTCTGTTTTCATAAGTCAGCAACAAAATATTCAGTGTCTATGGACATTTTTTTCATGGCCAACTTTTCTCGTTTGCTGGCAGTAAAGACTCTTACATCAACTGGGAACACCAGTTTGAATTCTTCAGAGTTATTCTCTTCAGTATCAGAATTCAGCTTGTTTTCAAGTCTTCAGTCTACTTGCTTTGGTCTTTATCTTTCTTCAGGCTGTCGCTTATTATTGACATTAAATTCATGTAACAGTCTTACAAGTCCGTCCTGGAGGCTTATTTTTTAGATTGTTGTTTTTCCCTCTCCATCTAAGCCTTGTTTTTTTTCTGTGTGGACAGAAAGGTAAAAACCTCATTATGTCAACTCAGATTGCCGACGCGTGTTACTTGGCAACGCGGAGGTCTGTGTCCTTGGCAAGCTTTTCCCCCGAACAAAAGGACTGACTTGGGATCTTCTGTGTGAATTGCTGGCACACGTGCCCAGGCAGGCTTGTCTTTAGGCCGTGCAGAGGGGATTGGAGCTCAAGGGGCCCCCCTGCCCCTGCCTTAAAAGAAAAGCTGGGACCACATCAGGGTACTAAGCAAAGTGGTCTGCTTATCTCTTTGGGTTGCAAAGCTCGTGCAGAGCCCCGGAGGCTGTGCCTGCTTTTTATAGAGACCCGGCCTCCTGAGTGTCCACCCTCCACTGACCCCTGTGGGGGTAAGGGACTGCCCAGGGAGGTGGCGGTCCTTCTGTTACTCCTGCTTCCTCTTCTGTGGCTTGCGCTCGCCTCAGCTCCCTGTCGCAGCTGCTCAGGAACAGCCGGGAGGTCTCCCCAGGCTCTGAACAGAACCCGGGACTTTGCCACGTTGTTTGTATTGAGCAGTGAGCACAGGGCTTCCGCTCTCTCCCACCTCCTCGCCATCTTCAGGAAGTTGTCAACGATTCTCACTTGGTGACGTCCTCTTCCCTGGCCCTCCGCTGTCCTGATAAACGCAGTAGTGTTTTTATGTTTCTCCCTGGTGTCATTTTAGAGGCAGAGGAGATGAATGTGTGTATGTACCTAGCTCAGTGCATCGAGCGAGGAGTGTCACTTATTCCTGAAACTGTCACCACCAGTGGCTTCTGAGACACTCTTCCCTTGTTTGGCAGCTGCTTATTGAGCTCCACCGGAGACCAGAGCTCTTCTAGATGCTGCAGCTACAACTGCTGACTCCTGCTTCGTGTTCCTTCTTAGTCACCAGGGCCCCCTGTCCTCACTCTACTGTCCCCCAGGCTCTGTGTCCTTGGTCTCCATGTTCTTGTGAGCAAGTTCCCCAGGCGGGTGGCTTCGGCTACCGCCTGATTGCTCCTGATTCCCCCAAACGTGCCCTAATCCTACACCTCTCTCCCGAGCTCCAGCTGAGACCTGGACACCTTATTTTGTGTGTGTGTGTTGCAGGTACCTTCAGTATAACGTGTCCAGGTTCTCTCTCTCCTGCCCGATCTGTCCTGCTCCTGTTTTGTCCGTCTCAGGACACGGCATCTGCACAGGCCCAGCTGCTCTTGCAGTTTCTTGCACCGATGCTCCTTGTTCTGTCAGCCCACAACCAATCACCAATTCCATTGATTCTAAATGAAATTAAATGGTTAATTCCATTTAGAATCAGCTCCCACCTCTAAGTCCTTTGTCCAGTATGTTAAAATGGGTGGTCAGTCCTCTCTTAGCCTATGACCTTCCTCTCTGACTTCCCTTGAAAACAGGCTTTCTTAACTTCGACACTAGCAATGTTTTGGGCCAGAAAATTCTTTGTTGGAGAGGCAGTCCTATGCATTGTGGGAGTTTAGCAGCATCTCTGGGCCCTTCCCACGGTCATGACCACCAAAAATGTCCCCACACATTTGCCAAATTCCCTGTGGATGGCAAAATTATGTCTGATTGAGAGCTACTGCTTGAAACACCCTCCGCCCTGCTTCTAGAGAGTCCCTTGCACACGATAATCTTGATTATACCACTTATTTCTAGGTCCCCTTTGTCCTCAGAGGTAATCTCCAAAGAAGGGACGTCTGTCCCAGAGAACCTCACAATCAAGTCACATGTGGCATGTAAATAAGGTATCAGAATGCCCTTTTATGTTTCTTTTGTAGCTAAAAACATTAGGAAAGTTAGGCTTTGCTCTTGGTACATGGCTTGAAGAATCATGTGTGTACACTATCATTTGTAAGAAATACCCAGAAGCTCTTACTGATTGAAGAGCTGGAGGGCGCTGGTCTACGGGAGAAAGTCCAGAATTCCCCGTGTTTGACCACGAGATAGCTCCCACTGCTCCGTGTCTCATCAAGCCCCCAACCTCGTTCCCTCACGCTGCACTCCTTGCAGTTCCCTTAATTCAATGTGCATTGTAGGCTGTCTGCATCTTGGCTCATACTGTCTCCCCTTGTTCACACAAAACTCAGTGTTGGTGTGCCATCAAACCTTGATCTCCTCAAGGATGCATAACCTGAAAAAACAAAGAGATTTAACCCCCCTTCTCCTTTGGGACCTCACTTGACACTGTCCACACATTGTTTTCATGGCTTCCGTAATTCACCGCTACATGTGTATGTTTATGTAGAAATTCTCCTCATCAGTCTACAAATGCCTTAAGAACAGGACTAGTGTCTTGTTTTAAAAAAGATTTTATTTAGTTATTTACTTTCAGAGGGAGGAAAAGAGAGGAAGAGAAACATCGATGTGTGAGAGAAACATCAGTTGGTCGCCTCTTGCACACCCCCAACTGGGGACCTGGCCTGCAATCCAGTCATGTGCCCTGACTGGGAATCGAACTGGTAACCTTTCAGTATGCAAGCCGGCGCTCAATTGACTGAGCTACACCAGCCAGGGCAGGACCTGTGTCTTACTCGCCTTAGCATCCTTCAAAAGTAGAACAGTTCTAAGCAGGGAGAGGAGCTCAAACTGTTTTATGAATCAATAAATAAATACAGAGGCACAGTATTTCTGTTGTGATTTCTGTTTCATCCCCAAAGTATAACATGAAGGAAGGCACACAGACCTCCTTGGTAGCATTTCCTGGTCAGCTCTTCACGGCGGACACGGTAGGATTCGCGCCGTATCTGTTTCCCATGCCATCTGGTCCTGAGCACTGAGCGGGGTTGGGCTGTTGCAGGGATCGGTGTTGTTCGAGGAGGTTTCCGTGGACTTCACCCAGGAGGAGTGGTGGCTGCTGGACTCCGCCCAGAGACACCTGTACAGGGCTGTGATGCTGGAGACCTACAGGCACCTGGTGTCGCTGGGTAAGCACAGTCCCCAGGCCACTCCCAACAGCATGCACTTCCCATCTGAGGAACCCAGTCACTGTCGAGTGTTGTGAATTTTAGGCTTGAGATTTTGGACTCAAAGATCCTTTTCAGGGAACTTGAACTGATTGTGTTCTCACCTCCCCTAGTGCAGCGGTTGGCTCTGATGAGGGTGCCATCATTGTCAGCTCCTGCGGCTTCTTCCTTTGGGTTCCTTAAAGGGCCTGAACCCTAAGCGGAGTCTCATGTCATTTCCCACAACAGGCCACTCTGTTCCCAAACCTGAGCTGATATCCAAGCTGGAGCAAGGAGAAGAACCATGGACCTCACAGAGAAAGTCCTCGAATCAGGGCCACCCAGGTGAGTTAACGAAGTCAGACACAGGCGACTGGCAGAACCTGGGTCCCAGAGGGCCCCGTTCGGGGGCTGGGGCCTTGGAAATGCATTTCAGAAATTATCACCATACCTTAGTTATTACACCTCCTAATATCACCTTCATACGTAGTTTTAAATTTTCTATTTGACCTTTATAGAGATTTGCTTGCTTTTTGTAGAACCCATTTGCTGCCTTTCCCTTCCTAGACTTTTATTCCTTTGTTTTCCTCTCTGTTCAATGATGGCCGTTGTTCACCTTCCCTCCAGTGCTAAACACTCTGAGGTATGCACTGAAGGATACAGTCTTTTATTTAATGAACATTTATTTACCAAGTGCCTTGCTGTGCATCAGTCACGTCCTAAGCACAAGGGATACAAAAGCAAAGTCTCTGCTCCTACCCACAGATCCAGTTAGCGGAGAAATACATGATGGGTAGGGTGGTAATCAGCACTCTGAAAAATTAGAGGTAGAGGAAGGGGATAGAGAGTGATGGGGGTGATATTTTAGAAGGGAAGTCAGGGGCGGCCTCATTGAGGGGGTGAACATCTGAACAGCAACAAGAAAGTGGAATGGAGTTTTGAATAAAGGGGTGGAGTGAGACACGGGTCATCCGAGAGATTTCCAAGGGGACAGCAGGTGCCAAGTCTCTGAGATGGGAGTGGGCTTAGTACCATGAGGGAACAGCAAGGAAGTCAGTGGGAACAGAGAGGGTTTACTGGGAAAGTGTAGCAAATGATGGCAGAGAGTTTGCTGGGGGCGGAACTTTACAGGTCTGGTAAAGACCGAACTGTACTCTGAATAAGGTAGTAAGTAAAAGGAGAGGTCAAGAACTATACCGTTAAACACTGCATTTGAAGTTCAGGAAGACAGGGTTCCAGCCAGAGAGACTGAGAAGGAGCACCTCGCACGTAGGGAGAGAGCCAGGAGACAGTCCCCAGGTACTATGTGAGCAGAGTGTTCTTAGAAGGCAGGAGTGAATTCTCATACATCCATGCGAGGGTGAAGTCAGCACGGTCCCTTCTTTTCCTGAAAAGTATCCAAAGGCCACAAGGGAAAAAAAACTTTTTTAAAGTCAACTCCATATTTTGAAATCCCAAACATAATACAAAAGAGGGGGGAAACCTGACCAAGCGATGGCCATGATCTACTTGATCATGAAAGTAGAAATGCTTAGGGAAGGGTGTTAGAACTTACTGTATAGACAGCATTTACATGCAGTGTTTACCACCAATGGGACTTCAAACAATGAGGTATTTTTTAAAACAATAGGAAAGTGGCATTGCCCTGAAGGATGTGTAGGTTCCGGGTGGAGGACAGAATGTGTGCTAACTCAGTGGAGAACATGGCAGTGGGTTTGTGGTTGCAAATGCACAGCATATGGAATTAAGCATCGTGGTTTTACAGACGTTGATAATATGGTAGACTTTTGGAGTGATCATTGGAACTTCTGTTGTGAATTTGGGCATATGAAATTAGTATAAACATTCAACAACAAGTTTTCCTTGCTAGTACACTGATTCTATTTATCTGCTACAGAAATGTCGTAAGTTTTTAAGCATGCAGTTGATATTATGGCATAAAATGGGAAGAGCAGAGGATAATAATAACTGCCCATGGGCCCAAATTTTAAGATGAAAATTAGTGGAGGTCCTAGGATCAAGATGAATAGCCAGGTACTTGAGGTCTCACAGATCAGAGAGGAAGAAAACATGACATAAAAGTGGAATGAAAAATTAGTTATCATGAAAGGACACGATCAGTTGGTAAAGTAAGTCAGCAGACTGAAAGTGGGAAGAATAGAGTTTCCAATCGAGACAGATTACTATTTTTTTTTAATATTTTATTTATTTAATTTTAGAGAGAAAGGAAGAGAAGGAGAAAGAGTGGAAGAGAAACATCAATGTGTGGTTGTGTTTCATGTGTCCCCTGCTGGGGACCTGGCCTGCAACCCAGGCATGGGCCCTGACTGGGAATTGAACTGGCGACCCCAGGCTTCACAGGCCTGTGCTCAATCCACTGAGCTACACCAGCCAGGGCGAGACAGATTACTATTGATTAACTCTGATAATCAATGGGAGCACCAACAATCAGAGCACAGAGTTGAACTGGGTTCTGTTGCAAGCATGGCTTGTCCTCTCCTATATTTTAACATTCTCTTTGGACATTGTTTTTCCCTTTCCCCCACCGTATGGAGAGATGGAGCCAGAACTATAGAACTGATCGTTGGAACAGAGGAATTTAATGATTTCATAAATTTAATTGTGAGTGGGTGTGCAGAATGGAAAAGAGGAGGAAGAGTTTGGAAGCAGATAGCTGGTAGTTTGGGCTCTACTGCAATGATCGAAGTAGAAGGCAGAGGAGGAAAAGGTTCAAGTCTGCCCCCACGCTTAGTCTTTGCCCTGACACCTCCCTTGGTCACCTTTCGGTCGTCCTTCTCTCCCTACACAGCGTCCCTCACCTTTACTTCATGCTTCCACTACCTTCCATCCTTGGATCAGCTGTTTTCCTGACACCCTGTGTTCTCAAGTCACCATCCCTTGTGCTTCATTTCAAACTCTCTACCTATTTTGAGGTCATATTTGTAACAAGCCAAATTAACTCCTATTAATTTTCAGCTTTCTCTCTATTTTCCTACTATAGCATGTTCTTTTGTCTTTGTTTTCATGTTACCAAACCAAAAGGGTAGAATAAATATTTGCTTCAGAGTTCCTACATCCCAGGAGACTGTGTCTCAAACCCACGAAACAGCTCAACACGGGACACTTACGTACAACCCCAGTCTTTAAGAAATGTGTTAAGATGTATAATGTGTGTTAATCTTTAATATTTCTAGAAGTCCAGAAAGTCAGTAATGTGAAACAGAGAAGCCGAGAAAATGCAGGTAAATATTCAAGGCAAGCGTCATTCAGCAACAACAAAACACTGAGTAAGGAAAGAAATAAAACCTTAGGAATGGCCACAAACCCAATGCCTTCAAGAAAAATATCCCATGAATGCGACTCCTTTGGCACAAACTTGCAAAGCGTTTCAGAATTAATGATCAGTAATAGAATCCATGTGATAAAAAAGACTGATGATTTCGAGGGATGTGGATTCCTCGATACTGGGCGTGAGAAAACTCACACGGCAGACAAGCCCTGCGAAGGTGCTCAGAAGAAGTCCCACAGTCAGAATAATGCCTTTGCTCAGCACCAGAGGAACCTGGCTTTGGAGCAACTTCTTCAATACAATAACTGTGGGAAAGCCTTTCCCCAAAAAACAGCCTTTGTTACACACAAGAGAACTCACATGGGAGAGAAACCTTCTGAGGGTAGTAACTACAGAACAGCCTTCAAGCAAAAGTTCAAGTTCAGTGCTTGTCTTAGAACCCTGAGGGAACCCAGTAAAAATGGGAGATCCTCATGTGTGAAGTCAAAACCTGCCCCTCAGAGAACTCACAGAGGGGAGAGACACTCTGAATGTGATACATCAGGGAAATCCTGTAGCAAGAAGTCAGACCTTATTGAGCACCAGAGAATGCCCACAGGAGAGAAACCTGATGACTGTAACGAAAATGAGGAGGCCCTGCAGAAGTCGGGCCCCACTCAGAGTGAGAGAACCCACGTGGGAGAGAAAGTCTATGACGATAATAAACGTGGGAAATCCTGCCATGAAAAGTCACGCCTTACTCAACGTCAGGAAGGGCATACAACAGGGAAAGCCAGTGAATGTAAGGATAGTGAGGAAGCCATAAAGAAGTCACGCCTCGCTCCGAATCAGAAAATCGACAGAGGAGAGAAAAGCTGTGAAGGTGGTAAGTGTGAGAAATCCTCCCGCGAGACATCGAAGCTCCGTCAGCATCAGAGAACGCACTTGAGGGGGAGAACCGATGAGGGTAATGAAAGTGGAGGGGCCTTAAGTAGCAAGTCAGACCTCACTCAAGATCAGGGCATTCACAAAAGAAAGAAAACCTGTGACTGTACTCAGTGTGCAAAAGGCTTCCGTAAGAAAGCAGGCCCCACGCAGCATCAGAGCACGCACACCGGGAAAAAGCCCTACGAGTGTAACGAGTGTGGAAAGTCCTTCTGCGTGAAGTCCAACCTCACTGAACATCAGAGGACCCACACAGGGGAAAAACCCTATGAATGTAACGAATGTGGAAAATCCTTCTGCCAGAAGTCAGCCCTCACGGTGCATCAGAGAACTCACACAGGGGAAAAACCATACAAATGTAATGAATGTGGGAAAACCTTCTGTGTGAAGTCGAACCTCACTCAGCATCGAAGGACCCACACGGGAGAGAAACCCTATAAGTGTAACGAATGCTGGAGATCTTTCTGCGTGAAATCCAACCTTGTTGTACATCAGAGAACTCACACAGGAGAGAAACCCTACCAATGTCCCGAATGTGGGAAGACTTTCTATGAAAAGTCAGCACTCACAAAACATCAGAGAATTCACACAGGGGAAAAACCCTATGAGTGTCATGAATGTAGAAAGACCTTCAGCCAGAGGTCAGCCCTCACCAAACATCAAAGGAAAACACACAAGAAGAAAACTCCCATCAACCCTCTGCGGGGGCAGAAGGCGGCACCTACAAGTCAGACCTAATGAACACCAAGTTTGCAGGGCAGAAGCGCTAAGATGTCAGCACATGCGAGGAGGTCTTCATCAGTAGGTTAGAGCCAACTGCAGTCAGAGGATTAATATAGGAGTGAAGGCCCCTGAATACTTGGAGCACGTGAAAGCTTTCAACAAGTATTCAAAGATGTTAAGGGGAAATCTGTCATTTTAAGGCACGGGAAGTAAACTGTTCTTGTAGAAATATGGTTTAACTAGAAGTCATATTTCAGATGTAAGACCAAACTTATTGCCGAGAAGGTAACAGAAAATATTGTTTTTAATAGAATGTGAAATGTGGTACTTTTGTAAAAGCATGAATAGTTTATTGACACAACAGCATGACTTATATGTAAAGACTTTTTGAGGCATTTTGGGCTATAAATATATGCATACATAAGTATATAGTACATGAATGTGCTATATAATATGAATTATAGGTACATTGGATTTTCATATCGGAACCCATACGGTCTCCGCAATACAGGATACAGTGTGGGTAAAAAAGTGGGTTTATGGTTCTGAGTAGGTGAAACACAGAGTTTATTCTTATACTGATATTTATTAATGATTGGACTATTTTCCGTACAACTGTAAACCCACTCTTGCCCCACCCTGTACACATTGTAGGTGAAAGTCGAGCAGTCACGCAGTTGGCGGCCCAACAATCCCACCTGTAGATACACACAGGAAAACAGTTCTCTCCCGGGCATTATCCTAAAAGGTGTTTGGAAATGCAGGCTCCAGCAGAAGTAAGGCCTGCTTGAGCGAGGTTGGTAGGATAATAATATGGGTGCCATAATTTATAGTTTTAATGTGAACATTTCACCCCAAATGCTTGAGTGTGATGTCATGTTACAGAATCCCGTGCTTATGATTTTGTCATAAAAGTTTTGTAATAAACGGGCATTATGTGTGCTGGACTCCGGGTTTGGATGGTTTGGCTGCCGCTGGGACTGAGGGTGCTGCGGGCATTTAGCAGGTGGGAGGGCCCCAGATGCTCAGCGCCCCACAGTGTCCCAGTGGAAGGACAGAAAGAAGAGGTTCATCTGCAATGCCAGAAGCTCCATCACAGAAAACCACTGGCCTAGAGGAACGTGGGCATCTGCAACCACACACGTCACAAAAAGTTTCACTGCAGCATCGCAGTAATTTTTGTACTCATTTTGTAAAGAACAGAAAGCAATAAATGTCCACTAACGATAGAGTAGATAAAGAAATGTCGGTGTGGTGAGTCAGTGGGGCTAATATACACCAGTGAAAAGGAATTCATCTCAAAACACGTCCCGACTGTTTTATCTGAAAACAATAGTGTCGAATAAAAATATAGATACCATGTCATTGCATTTCCATAAAGTTCAAAAACAAAGAATTCAGCAATATATTTGCTGGGGATACATATATAGAAAGTAAAACTACAAAGGGGATGATTAATGTAAAACCTAGGACAGCAGTTACATTTGTGGAAGAAGTTTACATTTATTTATTTATTTACTTTTAAAGATTTTATTTGTTTTTTAGAGAGAGGGAAAGGGAAGGAGAAAGAGAGAGAAACATCAATCTGTGGTTGCCTCTCATGTGCCCCTTACCAGGGACCTGGCCTGCAACCCAGGCATGTGCCCTGACTGGGAATCAAACCTGCGACCCTTTGGTTCAGAGGCCAGTGCTCAATCCACTGAGCCACACCAGCCAGGAGGAGTTTACATTAGAGAGGGCATGAGCTTCATGTTTCTTAGATGGGTCATGAGTATATCGGTGTTGCTTTTGTAATTTTTCTTTATATATGTATATATGTGTGTGTATATATACACATGTCTGTGCGTACACATATATTTATGTTTGTACACTGATTTTCAAAAAACAAGCTTGAAATAATTGCATTAGAATATCAGAAAAAGTGAAGTATTGGTGTAAGGATTACAGTTAATCTTTTCTTTCGTTTTTCCGTATTCAAACCCTCTGTAATGACTTCTTTGAGTACCCACACCACCAGTCATTCGGGCCACCCCTTCTGGGTTTTCTCGATTCTGTTCTTTTCCTTTTTTCCCTAGCAAAATTTTTTTTTTCCCTAGCAAAATTTTACCTAAAAATTTAAAAATCACTAAGTTACCACAGATGATAACGTAAATAAGTTGAATTCATACATTAAAGGTAAAAGTAGTTTAATAATTGGTTAGAAAGCTAAATCCAACTATGGATTGCGAGGAAAAGTGCCTAAAACAAGAAGAGAGTTTGAGAGTTAAGGGATGTGCAAAAACATGTTCTTTAACTTTCATTCACTAAGGGAAACTTCTACGGGTAAGTCCTGTGTCACACCATTTAACCCAACTGTGCTCTAAACCATTAGGGTCTCAGCCTCTCAGCAAAAATGACCTTGTAAGGAACTATCTGTTGCTATGACAATATGTTCAGGTTACCTTGCTTTTCTGTCTTAAAATAATGTTAAACATTCATCCCTGTGGTCAGAGAATCCACAGGAATCCCCGGAAAGGGCAGGGAAGGAAAGAGCTCTTTGATTGATGACTCTCCCTGGTCCATCGGGTCTAGTGAGGACCTTTTTAATATGCCTTGTTTTGACTCTACAGAGAATGATGAGCAGAGCACTGAGAATGGGGTGACTAGACTTCTGATCTCCTATTTTTAAGTCTTTAAAGAGGAAAATTTAGATAATAGTACTGCCTTAGTCTGTTCGGGCTGCTATCACAATACCGATTTATAGACCACAGGAACTTATTGCTCACAGTTCTGGAGGCTGGGAAGTCCAAGATCATAGTGCTGGCAGACTCAGTGTCTACTGAGGACTTGCTTCCTGATGAACAGGTGCCTGTCCTCTTGCTCATGGAGCAAGGAGTGAGGAGCTCTCTGGGACCCCTCTTATAAGGGCACTAATCCTGTTCACGAGAGTTCCACCCTCATGACCTAATCACCTCCCACAGGCCCTACCCCTGATACTGTCACATTGAGGGTTAGAAAGCCAACATGAGTTTCGGAGGAACATTCAGTCCATAACAACTGTAGTGTTTTTCAGGATTATCTTTCTGAACTCTGCATGCCCATGTACAGGGCAATTGGTACATCGTTAGAGGCCAAAGGGGATGGTCTGGGGAAAAAGGAGAGGAGGATAAAGAAAGCACGGTCTATGCCTTTAGATAAAAGACTGGGTTTCCTCACCTGGACATATAACACCCCTCTGCCTGGACTGTGCCCTTGCAGACACCCCCCAAAGCAGGACTTGTGGATTCTGTCCCCTGCCCATCACTCAGCTCAGTGCACTTCCCTGGAAGTTGCCCTAAATCTACTGTCACACTGTCCTGTCTCTTCAGAGGGGAAAACTGCAAATCTTGTTCATGGAACGGGAAGGTCAGGAGTTGCTTCCAGCCTAGCTCCCTGTCTGGGGCCCTGCTGCCCTTTCCCAGGGCACCGGTGAGCAGTCTCGTCTCAGCATGTGGCTCCTTTTTGTTTTTTTAGTCCTGGAATGTCTTCTCACACCTAAGAGCCTAAGAGTCAATGCCACCGTGTGGAGTCAGCGTCTGGGCCCCACACACGAATTCCCTTACACGGAACTTCTACCTTGGTGACCAACATCTGTCTCTGAGGGCACCTCCCGGCCCCAGGCATCACAAACCTAGCTTCTGCTAAACTCAAACCAGGGCCACCGAACACAGGCCGGAGGGTCCCTGAGCAGTGCTGAAGCTGCAGGAATGCGGCCTGGCCTCACACTCCAAAGAGACACAAGGAAATCCCAGGACGAGAAGGCCGGAGTCCATTTTAATTCAATATTTACTTCCTGGGGTCATAAAGGGCATTTTGTGAGGCTGAAAACTCTAGAATTCAAAGGTGATTAAAGTACACACCCAGGTTTCAGGCGTTGCAACACACTGGAAAAGCCTGAAATTTGAAGAGAAGTGGTTCTTGGATTTTATCCCCAGCACTGAAACCAGATGTGTTTTGATATTGGAGAACTTAACTCACTGTTCTGAGCATCCATTTTCTTATTTATAAATTTTTTCTTATTTTAAAAAGAAGGATGGTGATACGAACTGTGCAGTAGATATTAGGGCTCACTGGGACGTTTCATTAAAAGAACCTCACAAGCGCTGTCCGTAGTGGTTGTTGCTGCTCTGGCAATGACCTCTAATAGGATTTTGTTACGCAGCCAACAGTGATGCGGGCAGGACACGCCAGACCAACATTTACCCTCCAAACGGGCCTGTGAGGTGAGTCCTCTCCCCGTGCCCATTTCAAAGATGAGGAAAACAAGGCTTATAGAGGCTTTTGAAATTACTACAGCTACAGGGAAGCCAAGTAGCAGAGCGTGGCATTGAGCCCAGGTCTGTCTGGCTCCAACATTAGTTCTGCAGAGGGGGTTTTAACCCACTTTTCTTCCTGTTTGAGTCACTCCTTTCTTTTGATTTATATTTTCCATCATATTTTTTTATTCTTTTACTTTTAACCTGCCTCTTTTATTGAAGCTGACTTTTTTATTTGACAATGATAAAAAGTTTTATATATGACAAATATATAATGGGTTATGTTCTTTAATGCACATTGTCAATCTCTTTCTTTTAATTGATATGTTTAGACCATTTATATTTAATGTAATTGTTGCCCTGTTAGACTTTTAAGTCTGCCATTTTACTTTTTGTTCATTTATGTTTGTTAGCATTTTTTAATTTCTCTGTTTTATTTTTTTTAAGATTTGATTTATTTATCTTTAGAGGGGGAAGGGAAGGAGAGAGGGAGAGAAACATCAATGTGTGGTTGCCTCTCCTGCATTCGCTTCTGGAAACTGGCCTGCAACCCTGACTGGGAATCAGACTGTGATTCTTTGGTTCGCAAGCCTGCACTTAATCCACTGAGCTACACCAGCCAGGGCTAATTTCTCTGTTTTCTTTATCCTGCCTTCTTGTTATTGAACATTTCTAGAATTTTATTTTTATTTACATATAGCGTTTTTAATATATCTCTTTGCATAGTTTTTTAAGCAAAAC